TCCCGATGACTGACAATGAAATGGAGAAGATGTTAAACACGGCAAAAAATGACATGGAGTGGAATGAACGAGCTAAACATCTGGATGAGGCCGGCATCAAAAAACAGGCCAAGAAAAAGATGACATTCTAGAGGTAAATCTGATAGTTTTCAGACAATGGGGGATTTCAACAGTTTTAATTGCAATGAGATCAAATTTCATTTTGCTTAAAAAATAATAGCAAACAAGTGATATCTTTTTCATGTCACTGTAAAGAATCTTTATTCAACAGGTAAAAGAAACAAAGTATGATATTGGGATTCCAGGCTGTTGGTTCCAAAAATTGCCTCACAAGGTACTGTACAAATGATAACAAGGTGTGACATGTTGTGGTTCGAGTGAGGTTGAATCAATATCTCTTACATGAAAGCATTTTATATTTCTTTAAAAAGTACACTGTAATATGAAGAAGTCTTTTTTTCTAGTTGAAAGAAACTGAGAAATGTTGGGATAAAGTTGGACTGATCTTGATTAAACCATTTTGATGACTGTTTATAGGACGGTAAAGGCAGCAATGTGGGTAACCCCCTGTCTAAGGACTTCCTTCCTCTGATAGAGACAGGTGTCCTCAAGTCCCTCCTAGTGACGGCAGAGACCGTGCTGAAACTGACCAAGATGTGCTCCTACTGGCAGAAAAACAAAGACCGAATCGCGTCAGTTGGATTATAAAGATTAGATGAAATGTTTTAAAACATTTGAGCACAATGTATTAAAATTTGGTTAAACAGATAAAATTTAAAGATGAAAAGTGATATAACAACTTTTTTATTTATGAAGAGTCTGTTGTTAATTTACAGGGGACAGATGGCAGTAATACTGAATGAAGAAGATCTACCAGACACTATTACAAGGTACAAAAATAATTCTGATTTCTCTTTGAAATATTATTTCTTCTGCATTAACATTCCAGATGAACATAGCATTTATTTTTCCCCTTTTCACCAATAAGTGTTTATAAAACCTAAATTGATATAATCATTATGAAAAGTTATTTCATCAGCACCCAACTTTAACATTTGAAGGTGAACATATCATTGATTTTTCTTCCACTTGGTTCCTGAGAATGATTTGGGTAAGAGGTCTATCGATCAATATGAAGGAGATATTTTCCTACTGATAAACATGGTTCTGTTTGGGTATTTGTCAGAGACCCGAGTTATGATGTTAATGATTCGTATGGAGCCATCATTCCCCGGGTTATTCCTGCTGGAACCATCACAAGGAGAGCTGTGGAGAAGACATGGATGACAGCCAGCAATGCTTATGTAAGTAAAAGACTTATTCTGTATATCTAGAGCTACTTATTAAATAATGTAAAGTATCATATGATTAAATCTCCCCCACCAAATTTTACAAAATGAAGTTGTTTATCACATTGCATGCATTTGTTTTACATTTGTTAAATATTTTCTCTGTCTCGTGCATGATTATGATAGATTTATAAAAGAAGGTTTAGAAGAAAGCCATATAAGAATTGTGTGACCTTGCAGGTTGACAGGGTGGGCAGTGAAATGAAGTCGATGATCCAGTCTCCCCCAGGGTACCATTTTGTGGGGGCTGATGTGGACTCCCAGGAACTGTGGATTGCAGCCATTATTGGTGACTCCAAATACAAGATACATGGTAGGTGGTATTTAAATCAGTGTGAAGTCTTCTTTCTTGAATACAATTTATATTGAGAACACAGTGTCTTTTGATTTAAATGCACAGTAATATGTACTTCCAAGTGCATCTCCTTATGCACCTTCAAAAAAAAAGTTAATCAATAAGATATCATGGAAAATAATGAATAGGTAATGGTTTAATGATGAAATAATGTATAATGTTCCATACAGTGTAAGATAATTTATAGTTTGCATTGTTCATTTCTCTGTTATAGGTTCTACCCCCTTTGGTTGGATGACACTACAAGGAAATAAAAATGACAAAACAGACTTACACAGTAAAACAGCAGAGACAGCTGGAATCACCAGAGATCATGCTAAGGTGGGGTGCTCCGGGACAAAACTGGGATCTGGAATTATTAGATTGCTCTGTTTTTATAGGTATTTTATTGTAGGCAGCTGACATGTTACTTCTTGCATTGTTTTTGATTTACAAGTTTTCATCTGGTCTGTTATTATTAATTGATTGAAGTATTCATTTGTAAAAAAGGATGTCTAAAAATGTGGATATGGAATTTTTGTTACTTTAATTTCTTTTTAAATTGCATATTGAAGTTTAATTTTTTCATTCAAAGTTTTTTCTATTATGAAGCATTATTAATACTCAAATAATGTCTTATAAAGTGACAAAAAAATATATAAATTCATAAGGGTGATAGTAAAAGGAAAGAAATTTGAATTGCCTTATCAATTTTTTGGAGATTTGATATACACATCATTGACAACCAGAATATGCCTTAAAAATGTATCGATTCATCAGTCCACTTTTTTATTTGCGTCCTCTATCCTCTATATGGTTTTGATCCTTGTAGATATTAAACTATGGTCGTATATATGGGGCTGGACAGAAGTTTGCAGAGACTCTGCTGATGAATTTTAATCACAATCTGACCCCAATAGAAGCTGCTGCTAAAGCCAAGAAACTGTACGAAACAACCAAAGGAAGAAGGTAGGCAGCAAGGACACTTGTTTAAATATGTCAAAACATTATAGTATATACCTTAAAGGTCAGGTATTAAGGAAGTTTCTATTCATACTTAGAAAACATTATCTAGTATGCATGTTTTTCTGATTTGTACGTATAACCTGCAAAACTGTTTTATTTTCGTCTTTTTTTATTCTCTCAGATTTTGAGTAAACATGTACATGTATTTAAATTTCAAAAATTTCAGGAAACGAGATCTGAGGCAGTGGGAAGGAGGGACGTAAGTTTTTATATACATGTAGGTCTAATTATTGCATATTGTTTACATTGAGAGTACTTTTTGTAAGTAAAATATTCTGAAAACTGATCAAATATAAGGACTATGTTACAGATATCTTGGACTATATTTCTGATGATGTTTTTCTTCATATGTCTTCTGTTATCTAACATTGTGCAATTCACATTTTATTGAGGCTGTACGTATAGAATCAGGTTGTCCAGTGACTGCAAAGTTATTGTTAAGTCATCCGCAGATAACTTTAATTCACATTGATTTCATAAGTGATCAAAGACAGTGTTCAGCACATTCAATTTATACCACAACTTTTGAGATTTGAAAAAAAAATCATATATCCAAGAATTTAAAACTATTAGTATACAAATAAACATTTATGTAATGTTTCATTCAACAAAAAAAAAGTAAAAAAAAAAAAAGGAACAACTTACAAATCCCATATTTGAAGCAAAATATGAGTTTTATCATCTATGTATATATTATTAGTTATACAGGTTGTTATGGGTCAGAATTACCCGAAATGCCAGCAAAGAGATCAATAACACAATTTAAACTTAACAAAAATTTATTTACAGTAATATATAATAAATATATCAAACATAAAGTACAAACTTACAAGAATCTAAAAATACATACATCAGAGTGTCCGTTGCTGCACACAGTGTCCCAGTGAAAATATTCCCATTTATATTTCAATAGTGCTTATACGACTAAGTATTTGAATCAGTTTTGGTAACAGAATTCACCTTTCTAAAGTCTGTACATAATCGGTAGGTACCGTCCTGTTTTGGTACAAGAATACATGGTGAGCTCCAGTTACTTTTACTAGGTTCGATAATGTCATTGTCCAACATGTACTACATGTACTGCACTTCCCTTCTTAGGTACTGCAATGTTATTGGATTAAGACGGTACGGATGTTGTTTGATGGGTAGAGCGTTGTCTACTATGACATCATGACAAGCTGCATTAGTTTTCTTTGGAACATCCGAAAAGATTTGATGATACTCACTCGTCAAGTTTTTAACTTGTTCTTTTTGGTGAATGTTCAAATGTCCAAGTTTAGCATCCAAATTAGCCAAAACTTCTGAGTTTTTCAAACGGACACTCTGATTACATTTCTACACTCGTATCACTTTCAATACAATTTTGAACAGTCTTAGCATCGGCTAAAGTGGAAACTGGTTCTACAGAATTTCGGTCACACCTTTCAAAATACTCTTTTAACATGTTAATGTGACAGACCCGTTTCTCTTTACGTCGACCTGGTGTCTTAACTACATAGTTTACATCACTAATCTTGCTTTCAATTTCATAAGGGCCATAAAATTTGGCCTGTAAAGGATGACCAGGAATAGGTAAAAATACAAGAACCTTATCACCTGGTTTAAATACCCTATTTCTGGCATTTTTGTCATACCACATTTTCATTTTCATCTGAGAATTCTTCAAATTTTCTTGTGCTAATTTACAAGCATTGTAAAGTTTTTCTTTGAAATCAGACACATAATCGAAAAGATTAAGATCACTAGTCTCAGTCAGCCACTTTTCCTTTAACAATTTCAAAGGACCCCTAACCGTATGACCAAACACCAATTCAAAAGGACTAAACCCAAGAGACTCCTGGACTGCCTCTCGTGCAGCAAATAGTACAAGATGAACCCCTTCATCCCAGTCTTTCTCATACTGGTAACAATAGGTCTTCAGCATTGTTTTTAGGGTTTGATGAAAACGTTCTAGCGCTCCCTGGGACTCAGGATGATAAGCAGTTGATCTATATTGCCTTATACCCAACTCATGCATGACTTGCTGGAACAACCCAGACATAAAATTTGAGCCTTGATCCGACTGAATTGCCTTGGGTGCTCCTACAAAACTGAAAAACTTGGTTAGGGCCTTAACTATGCTCTTTGTATTCCTAAGAGGTATGGCTTCAGGAAATCGAGTGGATGTACACATAATGGTAAGTAAATACTGGTTCCCAGATCTAGTCCTAGGCAAAGGTTACACAATCCCCCAATACTGACTAAACGGTTCTTCAAAAGCTGGAAGGGGTTTGGGAGGGAGCAGATGGTATCTTCTGATTTGGTTTACCTACCATCTGACAGACATGGCATACTTGCAAAACTTGAAACATCCTTTCTTAGTTTAGGCCAATAGAAATGACTCAAAATCCTATTATAAGTCTTATTGATACCTAAATGACCAGCCATAGGTGTATCGTGAGCTAAACTCATGACATCTCGACGATAAGCAGCTGGGACCACTATCTGGTGAACAACACGCCACACTTCATCTGGAGAAGCGTCAGATGGTCGCCTTTTTCGCATAAGGTCCATCTTTCATATAGAAGCATTCTCCAACTTTAGTAGCCTTTTTGGTGGAAGTGCCCTTTACTAAGTTGAATGATATCTGGGTCTTTATGTTGTTCAGAGAGTAAACGTTCTCGGCTGAGGATGTCCTTGCCTTAGCTAACTAGTGGATGCAACTTATCATCCTCACCACCAAATTTTGGTAAAAGTTCTTTTTTTTTTGCTTCTTGATATTGTATGGTTCCATGCTTGTTTGGTCCCATCAAGGTCAGATAAGAAAGTGTCATTCAAATCAATATCAACAGAGGAATTCGTCTCGTCAAAGGCTTGAGTATAGTCTGCCTCCATTTTTCGTCTTCTGGCCATCACTCTAGTAACAGCACAGGCTGGATAAATGTCATCATCTTCATCATCGCACATGACACTGGAAGTGATTTTCTCACAAACTATAGGATCAGGTACAACCTTCCCACCAGCTAAATCATTGCCTAACAACAAAGAAATGCCTGGAACGGGAAGAGTAGGTCGAACACCTACGATAACAGGTCCAGTAACTTAAATCTGACTTCAAACTAATTCTCTGCAGGGGAACATCAATGACGCCTAGCTCCACACCCTGTAATAAAACTGACCCACCAGTAGAAGTCTGCTCAGACAAAGGAAGCACGCCCTCTAACAATAACGTCTGTGCAGCACCAGTATCTCTCAAAATCTGGACAGGTTTTATTTCGCTAGAGTCACCGAGTGAAACAAATCCCTGAGACATAAAGGGCTTATAATCCTCCATAGAATCAATAGAACTGAACTGTGAACCCTGGACATCAGGAGTGTCAGAACAAATCGAAACTAAGACTTCTCTATCACCTCTAACTGCCGCACAAGCGTGTGGTTGAGTTTTATCAAAATCATTTTTTCTCTTAAGTTTAAAGCATTCACTGATCAGATGACCTTTTTTCTTACAATAACTACAAGTAGGAAGCGACCCTATTCCAGAAGATCCTTCAACACGTCCTGGACCGGACTTAAAACCACCTTGGGATGAAGACTGGAGACTTGTGGAAGACTGAGACCCTGAACCTGAATTGGTAGAATTACTGCTAGTTCTGTGATCTTGATACAAAATTCTTTATGAGACAGAGCATAAGTATCAGATATGACTGCTGCCTCTTCAAGAGTTTTCACATTCTTATCTTCTAAATGTGTTTTCAAATCTTGAGGAACACATTCCTTAAACTCTTCTACCAGGATGACTTGGCGCAAATTAGCAAAAGTTTTATCAAGTTTCGTAGATCTAAACCAGTGATCGAATAAATCTTCTTTCTCTTCGTGAAAATTCAACAAATGTTTGATTATCAAACTTCCTATACTTTCTGAATTTTTGTCTATATGCTTCAGGTACTATAAATTCATATGCTTTTAATATTGCTGCTTTGACCTTCTCATAGTCTGAACTTCAGCTACCCCTAGCGCAGAGTATACCTCAGCTGCTTTGCCAACCAGTACACTTGTAACATTGTTGACCAAACGTGTTGTGGCCATTTAAGATTCTCTGCGACTTTTTCGAATTAGGGAAAATATTTGTCTACAGATTTTTCTTGAAATTTCGGAACTAACCTAATATTTTTTGCTGCGTCAAATTCATTCTTGACAAATGACGGTTCTGGTTGGTGCTGTAATCTTAATTTCTCTAACTCAAAGTGCTCTTGTCTTTCTAATTTGTCTAATTCAAATTTTCGTTCACGCTCTCGTTCTTCTCTTTCTAATTTTTCTCTTTCAAATCGCATTTTCTCTAACTCTAATTGAAACTGATATTCTGCCATTTTATAAGAGCCTAACTCTGATTTAACTGTATATTCTGGAAGATCGTATTTTTCAAAGATGTTTTCTTTTACTAGTTTGTTTGCAACCTTAATTCTAATGTCTTGCTTTCTCTGAGAGGATTTAACATCTAACCCAAAATGCAAACCTAATGCGATCAAGTCATCCTTTTTTAACGTATCAAAAACCTGAACACTTGGTGAACTAAGAAAGTCAGTGACCAAAAATACCATATTGATTTTTGCTGGCTTATAATCAAATTTAACGGTTCAATAAAAAAAAATTCTGACAATAAACTGCAAAAGTGCAAGAAATTCTTTATCCGGACGAGCCCCAATTCTGTTATGGGTCAGAATAACCCGAAATGCCAGCAAAGATCAATAACACAATTTAAACTTAACAATAATTTATTTACAGTAATATATAATAAATATATCAAACATAAAGTACAAACTTAGCAAGAATCTAAAAATACATACATCAGAGTGTCCGTTGCTGCAACAATGTTCCAGTGAAATATATCCCCAGACTCTTTGTAAGCCAGTCTTACTTGTACATCAATGGTGATTATATGACAATTATTATTTATGCATCGAATTGACAGGGTATTTATATAGTACTATAAATCTAGAAAATTTTAGAAGTTGTAAGTACATGATATTACTGGAAAGTTCTGGACATACACAAAGTTCAAGAATGTTCTTAAAAAAATGACCGAGCATGTTGACCACTCTGGAATGTTCAAGAAACTTAATGTTACTAATAATAGACATGATGAAACAATACAAATACAACACACCTCACAACAAGGTTCAATCAAGACCAGGGGTAAATCCCTGTATAACCTTGATAGTGATTGGACCTGGATAACGAATTTATTTCATATGTACCCATAAAAATTCTTTGTAAACATCAGAGTCTAATGAACTATGTCTCAACCTATCGAAAAGATTTAATATTTCTACATACTACAATGCATCGTGTTGTCTTGTCATTTGCTTTTTATTATAGAAAAACTATGCATTTTGAAGTCGCGTTTTATTTAGCCCTGTCTCAAAGTCGGGTGCATGGAAATTTACTCTGTAACCAATCAAAGCTTGTGTTACAAGCTGCATAGAAATAAAATCCTGTTATATAATATTCATTTATTTACAAAATTAGAATAATATAAAGACCTCACTTTAAATCTTTGTAAAGAGTATAATAATAAACTTGTACATTTTCTGCTAGAGAGAGTGTGATGTTCAACATGTTGGAATCAATAGCCAAGTCCCCCTCTCCAAAGACACCTGTACTGAGTGCCTCTATCAGTAAAGTGTTAGAACCAGAGGTCATAGGAGATGAAGTAAGTCAATCAGCCATGTTCTCTGTATTAGGAATAAAATGGTGTAATACAAATCAGTTTCATACCTTATATTACCATTACTGTCTACTTTCAGTTCATGACAAGTCATATTAACTGGGTGGTACAGAGTATCATTATTGTCTACTTTCAGTTCATGACAAGTCGTATTAACTGGGTGGTACAGAGTATCATTATTGTGTACTTTCAGTTCATGACAAGTCGTATTAACTGGGTAGTACAGAGTTCGGCTGTGGATTACCTGCACCTTATGTTGGTGTGTATGAACTGGCTCTGTAGTCAGTATGATATAGATGCCCGGTTCAGCATCAGTATCCATGATGAGGTCCGGTACCTAGTGTCCAGTAAGGACCGGTACAGGGCAGTCCTAGCCCTACACATCACTAACCTCCTAACCAGGTGTATGTTTGCTCACGCTCTAGGAATGAACAATTTACCTCAGGTAACAAAAATACTTGACATCTTATTTAATGTGTATGTTACATGTAATCAGGAACCATAAAGCATTCCATTTGTCTTCTGCAACTGTTGGAAATGTAATTTGCTATTTTTAAAGAGTGATTACGTATGGATATGCAGTTTTACCTTTATACCTCCCTTTCTTTTAAGTCGGTGGCCTTCTTTAGTAAAGTGGATATAGACCAGTGCTTAAGGAAGGAAGTAAACCTGGAGTGTCGAACCCCTTCTAACCCTAGTGGTATGGAGAGGGCCTACAATATCCCCATGGGTAAGTGTTTCTACGTTTACTGCTAATAAACACCACCATAGCTATTCATAAATGCATGCTCTCTAGATTTTTCTTGGTCCAACATTAAGTGGTGGACTTTGTTTGCATAGAGAAAGGAAATGGTCAAAAGGTTAAATATCAGTTATTTTATGCATTCTTAGAGGGCATTCAAGGGTGCATACATGTCATTGCCAACCAGACTTTTCAGGACAGATGTAGGTATACGTACATACAAAACAGATTTTGATGCAATTACCAATCGGAGGGTTCATGCAACATACCTAATTTATGGGATTAAAATGCAAGTTATTTTGTAATGGAGGTTAGAATTATCTTTCTTTGCTTTAGTTGCATAAAATTAAATAAGAGGAAGGGAGAGCCAAAGGAGGGGGTCTGGTATCATTAATATAGTCTAATTCAAACCTTTTATATAAAAACAAAAGGTGTATGAAGGAAAATGTTCACAAGAACTTGATATGATGTTCTTCAACATTTTGATATAAGGACAGTAATATCACATTAATTCCACTATGTTCAGATACTGTGTGGTTTATAAAACTGGCCATGGTTTACCACTGACCATTTAGTTACTGAGGAATCAATTATCTGGTGTTTGTATCAAGAACATTTAAAAAGTGCTTATTTGCTCTCTACTTCTTTGAGTTATGTCCAAGACACGTATATAGTTACGATATCGACATATTACTTTTTTATTGTTTAGTATAATATTTCTCTACCCTTTTGTTTTTATTACAATACTTTCTGTTTTAAGAAGTCTTCCTTACTGTCAATATCCACAATATAGTGGCGATACCGAATCCTGATTGTTCAAAGAATCATGGTTTCCACCTACAATACTAGTATTGTATTAATATGTGTTACTTGAAAACTGTCTTTTATAAAACTTTCCCTGTAGTGTCGATATCGTCGATATCGACGATGTGGCTTTGATATCAAATCATGTTTGCTCAGCCCTTTGTAAGTACCGCCCCTGTTACTTTGTATGTGTATTTTTGTTTAATTTCCTGTTACGAAGATTGTACCTGCCATTGATTTCGTTGATATCGACGATATTGTATCGATATCGTATCATAATTGTTAAAACATATTACTTTACCAACCTTCACCCTAATACAAATCTTTACTTTTAACATATCCCATGACAATAAGTTCTGTGTTTCTTCATGCAACGTATGAGCATATTTACTTTCTGATTAATAAGTTTACCCTGCTGTCGATATCGTCGGTATCGACGATATCGTATAGATATCGAATCATAATTGTTAAAACATATTTAATAACTTTTATCCTCACCAAACATCTTACTCTAAACCTAATCCAAAACAATAACAACCACTAACCTTTTCCTTATCATCATTTAATTTCATATTCATGGTAATAATGAAAGAATTTGACATCACTTGGACCTTGTAAAATTATGTTATACCTCACTGTTCAAATAAATTCTACAAATAGGATCGATACGATATCGTTATGTTTTTGTCGATATTGACGACATCGACATAACACATGGTCTCATATATGGTACCAAGTATTTCAAATTAATAGTGCTCATCACGATCGATATCGATATGATATCGACATAATATTGTCGATATCGTCGATATCGACATCGAATTCGTTCTTGGACATGTATGACTTCTTTACAATTATAGAACAAAACAGAAACAGCATGCAGTGAAATTTTTGCCCCCATTTTATTTTCACATTTTTCATCCTACTTACATTTGAAAAAAATTAAAACAGGAGGAATTCAAAGATAGTAGAATTTCTTAAACAGAACTTTGACTGGGCAGATTTAAGACATGGCAAATTTGTTAGCAAGTGTAAAAGAAAGAAACTTATACAGGGGGAAATAGCCTGCATATAGTATTTTTAGCTCATCTGAGCGGAAGGCTCAAGTGAGCTTTTCTGATGTCTGTCCGTCCGTCTGTAAACTTTTCACATTTTCGACTTCTCAAAAACCACTGGTAAAAGGGGAATTTAAGAGCCATTCTTGAAAAGACTTGAAATTTTATATAGGAGCTGTGGCACGCATAGTCTCAAATTTCCCCCAAAAATCTCTACGAAAAAACCCTTGAACCCCAAACTGAAATCAGGAAAAATTGGTTGCTATGTTTTATAGTTACCATGGCAAAATGTCTTAAAGTTCGAAAAATGGCATTTTTTAACATGTTTTAGAGCCCCATAGTTAACATTTGCGGCAAAGCAAACAATTGGCAATGACTGTTTCCAAAAGTTGAAGGTTAAAAAGTCTGAAATGCATGATAAACATGTTTGGTAAATCAACTATTACATACGTTTCTATGGTAACAAAGAAAAAAAAAATATTCATTGAATTTTATAAAGTCATACAGGTAAAAATAAAAAGCAATTATGGGATGAAATGTGATTTAATAATAGAAAAAAGTACCTTGAAACATATACCATTAACAAAATATGATATTTCATTTTGGTTGGCAATGGTTGCCAAGGTTTTTATACCACAGAGAGCCTTCAAAGTAACAATCTGTATGTTTAAATTTGATCCTATCTTTTAAAAAAGCACATTTCCTCATAATTAATGATCAATTTTTAAAGATGTTGGTGTGCTCCAAGTTTTCCCATTTGAAAAAATTCAGATTACATTCTAAAAATAGAGCGTTGCTATGGAAATAAGCAGAAAATATATGCTTAAAAACCCCAAAAATATTTTCTTTCCTTGGATACGTACCTTTTAATGTAGATTCCCAAAACTTTTATGATTGATTTTTAATTACAGCTAATCTGACTTTTAATTTTGACCATCGTCCAATCTCTAAGTGGATGCAAGAAGTTGGCACACAGGGTTTAATGTTGATATAAAGTCCACAAAATCGAACATTTTCCCTTCTTGGTAACCATAGCAACAGTGTTGTTTTTTTCATCGAATTTTATCAATATATGATATTCAACTTCAGTTCTAACAGATAAGTACTATTCAAGCTGAGTCCTTTAATTTGTTTCTTGATTAAATGGCAATTTAATTCTTAATGCAGCAAAAAGTTATTCACTTTTAAGCACTGGTACTTTGTTTCCATGGTAACACTGCAAAGTAGCAATTATACCCAATTTTTCTTACGGTTTTTGGTGTTGCAAGGTCCTACGGATGCATATTTGACAGTCTTGAATTTTCATGTTTTTCCTCAAGACAGTAGCATTAACCGAATCTTAGTTACTGGTTTTGCATGGTTACACTGTGTTGCCATGGCAACCAGAAAAGTTATTTATAGAATAATATTGCTTATACTTATATACTTAAGGTCAAACATTTTCATTGTTTTTCTTAAGCGTTGATTGAGTTTGAGCATGTAACACCTACCTTTAGTAAATACGGAGTGTTTTTCAGCATATTTAGCATTTTAAATGTATTCCAAATGTAACCTTGGTTACCACTTGCTTAGACATATATTTAAACAGTTTCTTTACAGTAAAAATGACATCAAGGTGTCTTGTTTTTGTTAGAATGGTTTGTTTGCTTTTTGTAGTTTTTATTAAGCCACAGTCAAGATTTAAAGTGGCTGAAAATCTCGATTTTTCAAACTTTTCCGGCTGTTGCCATAGCAACCGAGACACATAGCAACGATATTTTGTTCGACATTTGTTTCTGGTGTCAAGTACTAAGCATGGGTGAAGTTTCATCAAAATCGGTGACCATGCGTGGCAACGAAGTTTAAGTGGTTACAGAGAATGGCTATTAAATTGTTAAAATGAAGGGCTAAGTCCCCTCACAAGGGGAGATAATCAAGAAAAGACAAAAATAGGGTGGGGTCATTAAAAAATCTTCTTCTCCAGAACCACTGGGCCAGAAAAGCTGAAACTTATGTGGAAGCATCTTGGGGTAAAGTGTAGATTCTAAATTGTTCAAAAATCTTCGAAAATCTTCTTCTCAAGTACCACTGGGCCAGAAAAGCTGAAACTTATGTGGAAGCATCTTGTGGTAGTGTAGATTCTAAATTGTTCAAATCATGACCTCTGGCAGAAGGGCGGGGCCACAATGGGGAATCAAAGTTTTACATAGAAATATATAGGAAAGATCTTTTAAAATCTACTTCTCAAGAATCGCTGGGCATAAAAGCTGAAACTTATGTGCAAGCATCGTTTGGTAGTGTAGATTGTAAATTGTCTAAATTATGATCAGTGGGGTAGGGTGGGGTCACATTTTGTATTACAAGGGGGGGAAAACTGGTAAAGAACAGAATGGTCAAAGCTTCTCAGGTGAGCGATGTGGCCCATGGGCCTCTTGTTTTTTTGAACTCTGACTGTACAGCCCAACTCATCTCAATTTTATTGAGAGCTTTAATGCAGTACCCAGATTATCTGAAACTCAGTATATGCATTTTCCAAGTTTACAAACTCTTTAACAAGTAAATTTTAGGTAAATTTTTGCAGTTTTATTTAAATTACGTAAATTGGTCCAAAACTTCAGTACAGAAAAAAAAAATTTGGGCCCGATTTTTTTTTCTCTTTCTTTATACAAATTTTTACTAAGAATTCAGTCACCAGTATGACAGGTCAAATAAAAATTCAGTCAAAGCTGTCTCACGCAAAGACTAACTGTCTGACAATACCAGTAATCGTAACTTTTACTTCCATTCCATGTGGTTTTATGGCCTTTACTTCATGACCTTATACATATTTGACATACATGATAAACAGTCCTGGATTTAATCATTTTAAACCATATTAAAAAAATATTTCTGTGTCTCCCTTATTTGACGTCTCCCACGTGTACAGTTAATACTCATTTCAATCTGTACCCCCAGAAAATTTGTGTATATAGTGACCACCTGCCATGTGTGAGCTTTTTAAAAATCAATGCTGAATGCAAATTTTGTATGACACACTGACTTGCATTAGTGGGCGTTCTTCTAGAAAACTGCTGAAACTAATGTTTCATTCATCAAATCTTGTTCCTGTTTGCCAATCTTGGTTCTGTATGTTGTCTCCAGTGGTTGGAAATCAAAGTATGGATCAGGATTAGCATCAACATCTTAAAGATGTAATTGTGTATATTTCATACCTTTTATTGTTTAACTTTTGTATTAATGAATGAAGAAAAGGAAACTTTGTCGATTGCTTAAGATTTGGGCATACATATTAGTGTAGTAGTTTAGTTACTGTAGTAAAAAAGTTTAAAGCTATTTTTTATTTGAGCTTTAATTTGTACTTTTGGAGATTATTAGATTCTCTTTTGTGATTGAGCATGCAGGAAAGTTGTATGTACACTTACTTGGTATTGTCTTATGATAAGAAAAGCTTCACACCATTTTACAGAGAAGACTTCAAGTTTCAA